ATCCAATGACAGTGTGAATAGTACCAATGCTAATTAATAACTTACAAAGAAAGGTTAGCAAACAAGTGACTTAATCTGTCCCAAACGAGAAAGACATCGAGCACCTTAAGACGTCCCAAAGGTGAAAGACTATGAACGATTTAACGTGAACCAAAGATAGTGGCCGACCCTACTAAAGAAGTTCAAAAAATGACTTAGAAAGATCAGTGAGCAACTTAGGAAGGATCGTTTGTGACTTAAGGTGTCCCAAACGAGAAAAGACATTAGGCAACTTAAGATTTGCAAAACGATAAAGACATCGAATGACTTATGCTGTCCCGGGTATAGTAGTGGTTGTGTTACTAAAAAACTTCCATGAACGATTGACAATGGGTTACATTGTGTTCCTCAAGAGAAAGACAGTGGGCGACTTAGGATGTCCTAAGAACAATAACCACCTTACCAAACTGATTCAGTGAACAACTTACCAAGATTAGTGAGCAGTTGGCGAATTGTCTTTTGTGACTTGGGGTGTCCCAAAAGAGAAAGACAGCTGGTGATTTAATATGTACCAAGACACTGATCGCCTTACAAAAACACATAAGCCGCTTTAAGGTGTGACGTGTCTTGTGGCTCACATAGTAGGAAACTTATGGGAACGACTTACAAAAACCAGTGACCAACTAGAGAAGTTCACTGAACGAGTTACCTAGGAACTTCGGTGAACCACTTACAAAGCCCAGTGATTACATTGCGTAGTACATAATGTGACTTACAATGTCCCTTGGCGCATAAACCTCTCCTCTTACTAGTCGACATGACGATTTGACCATCTCCGGAACATTCGCCTCTAACACTGTGTCATGTCATCAAACGTTTTACTCAGTTTTCATTTATTGTTATAAACACCATTTGCCCTGATACTATGCCCGCCTTTTTGGCATAAGTTCTACATTTTCCCATACAAAATGACTCCTAATTTTACTACAACAAATCTTCACTGGGTGGCCGGCATGTAAATAAGGTTTTGTCTTTTTAATATAAATGACAGGACACCATTTACAGTTTTGCCTCGCTCTGAACCTGTGGCCCCAAAAACTTCTCATGCAAGTAGATGACATGACAACTTCGCAGTAACACATACCTCCCACCACCAGACCACCTGTAGTTTTCTTAACATGTACCCTAAGCCGGCCCCGGCCCCGTCAGTCTCCCGTCACTGCCGCCCTGATAACTTATTTAAGTCTAGCTTCATATAATTAAATTTTATCGTTTATACATACATAACATATGAATCTCCCACTACCAAGCCAAACCTACTTTTTTATAATGCATATCCCCTAAAGCGTCCCCAGCCCCATTTATAATAAGGCACCCCAACTCAAATATAGTGTCAAAAGTTCTAAAATGCCCGTACCTAACCACTTGTCTATATATACCACTGACCTCTACTTACCAATTCTAAAATAGCCCCTGAAAACGTATACCAAGAAACACGACACATCGCAGCCTAGCTTCAGCCACCCTATTAGTCGAAAAAAGCCCCTAAGAAACACAAAGAAAGACGACTCATAGCAGCCTTGCTTCAACCACCCGCTGGCCAACATTAAAGCATATTTTCCTTAAAGCTGCTTTGTTAGCGACCAAAAATCTGTCATGCACTAAAGACATATCAATTTGCCCGCCTTAAATAATAGCACCATATATATCGATCTGCAGCTTCACGAAAAATCAACCAATCATACCGTAACCAGCCTCACGATCGATATGTTACTAAGGATAAGGATGGAGGTTACTATAGTCTCCATGAAAAAACCAATCACTCAGCGACCCGATCAGCCGCCATTTTGTACTAAAGATAAACAGAGAGTCTGGGGAAAATCGATACAAATAATAACTTAATTGATGCCTATACTACTCAGGAATCATATCGTGGATTTTCTGGCCCAAGAAATTCGGGTGTACGTAATTATGTTCAGACCGATTGGATACCTGCTGCCACCTCTCTGTGCAGTTAGTGTCTTTCTGTTAAAGTGGACGTGATGAAGGCTCTTTTTGATCAAGTAAACAGCTCACTTGAGCAGATCAAATATATCATATCTGGAGAGGAAGATTCAGCTGGGGCGGAGAGTAAGCAGAAGGCCTAGATGACCACCGCGGGGGGAGGGGGGCGGGGCATATGGCAAGGATTAAGTCAGGTTGCAACTGGCACCATCAGAATGGTTACCGAGAAAGGGGTTGAGCATGTATATGAGTGCCTAAGTGCAGTGAAGACGATTCTTCGTTCACTAATTTGAGAACTCCTTTTATGTAGTATATTGCCTAATAAAATAATAAGATATAAGTGTATTGGGCACACAGTAATCAGATAAATGTTACACTAACTGCTGAATAAGCTGTATTATTATTTTACTATCACAAACATAATTTTCTAGTCAGAAACATGTTACGTCACACAGCATACGTACACGAGATCGCAGTGGTCCTGCTTACACCACCTATGCGGTGGAGAAAACATGGCTCTATAATTATCTTTTTGTTGAATTACATGCAGAATCTCCTGGCAATTACGATTGTCAGATGTGCAGTGTGTGATACACTCAGTAGTTTTGCCACTTTGTTGAACAACTATGAGGAAGATGAAATATATAAATGAAAGATGTACGTCATGGACCGTATATATATCTACTGGTGTATGACAACTGTTTACATGTAATATGTATGTATTCGTGTATCCGTGTGTCTGTGTGTGTGTGTCTGTATGTATGTATGTATGTATGTATGTATGTATGTATGTATGTATGTATGTATGTATGTATGTATGCATGCATGCATGCATGCATGCATGTATGTATGTATGTATGTATGTATGTGTATGTATGTATGTATGTATGTATGTATGTATGTATGTATGTATGTATGTATGTATGTATGTATGTATGTATGTATGTATGTATGTATGTATGTATGTATGTATGTATGTATGTATGTATGTATGTATGTATGTATGTATGTATGTATGTATGTATGTATGTATGTATGTATGTATGTATGTATGTATGTATGTATGTATATGTATGTATGTATATGTATGTATGTATGTATGTATGTATGTATGTATGTATGTATGTATATGTATGTATGTATGTATGTATGTATGTATGTATGTATGATGTATGTATGTATGTATGTATGTATGTATGTATGTATGTATGTATGTATGTATGTATGTATGTATGTATGTATGTATGTATGTATGTATGTATGTATGTATGTATGTATGTATGTATGTATGTATGTATGTATGTATGTATGTATGTATGTATGTATGTATGTATGTATGTATGTATGTATGTATGTATGTATGTATGTATGTATGTATGTATGTATGTATGTATGTATGTATGTATGTATGTATGTATGTATGTATGTATGTGTGTATGTATGTATGTATGTATGTATGTATGTATGTATGTATGTATGTATGTATGTATGTATGTATGTATGTATGTATGTATGTATGTATGTATGTATGTATGTATGTATGTATGTATGTATGTATGTATGTATGTATGTATGTATGTATGTATGTATGTATGTATGTATGTATGTATGTATGTATGTATGTATGTATGTATGTATGTATGTATGTATGTATGTATGTATGTATGTATGTATGTATGTATGTATGCATGCATGCATGTATGCATGCATGCATGCATGCATGCATGCATGCATGTATGTATGTATGTATGTGTATGTGTGTGTATGTATGTATGTATGTATGTATGTATGTATGTATGTATGTATGTATGTATGTATGTATGTATGTATGTATGTATGTATGTATGTATGTATGTATGTATGTATGTATGTATGTATGTATGTATGTATGTATGTATGTATGTATGTATGTATGTATGTATGTATGTATGTATGTATGTATGTATGTATGTATGTATGTATGTATGTATGTATGTATGTATGTATGTATGTATGTATGTATGTATGTATGTATGTATGTATGTATGTATGTATGTATGTATGTATGTATGTATGTATGTATGTATGTATGTATGTATGTATGTATGTATGTATGTATGTATGTATGTATGTATGTATGTATGTATGTATGTATGTATGTATGTATGTATGTATGTATGTATGTATGTATGTATGTATGTATGTATGTATGTATGTATGTATGTATGTATGTATGTATGTATGTATGTATGTATGTATGTATGTATGTATGTATGTATATGTGGATGAATGTTTGTATGTATATTGGTACGTTGGCATGCCTGTGTACACACACACACACACACACATACACACTAAAAATGGCATAGATACATACATACATACATACATACATACATACATACATACATACATACATACATACATACATACATACATACATACATACATACATACATACATACATACATACATATATACATTCATTCTTTCATTCATTCATACATACACATATACGCACACACCTACACCAATGCATACATACATACACACACAAATACACACATACATTCCTTCTTTTATCTATCTACATATTTACATTCATAGATACCTATATAATACTTAACTAATACATACAGTCTTACACCTGCATACATATATACATCTATTACAATTAGTAATAGCCTTGCTTATTGTATTTTTACCTTGGCTGTCCTTATTCTCCTCAGTCAGGGCTCTAGTGTTGCTGTGTTCAGAATGTGCTGAGATTATGTCTTGAAAATTTGTTTTCCCATGAAATTCCTTCAGTGTTTGTCTGGTAGATTTGTGTGATGTCAAAGCTGAAATAACACTCCAGATGACTTTCCGGATGTAAGATTGCGAATCAGCTTTCTTTCTTTTGGCTCTAGTCTGAAACAGAATGTTAGACTCTTGCGAATCAGCTCGCTCTGTTTTGGCTCCACTCTGAAGAAGAATGCGAGACACTTCAAGGTGACCATTCCTATTGCTGTAATGTAATGGAGTGTGCCCGAGGTTACACTTGACATTGATGTTTGCTCCAGCATGGACAAGAAAATCTACAATTTCGTTGTGACCGCTGCAGGCGGCAAAATGTAGAGGTGTTCTCTTGTCATCGTCTTCAGCATTAATGCTTGCCCCATCTTTGAGAAGAATTTCAACAATCTGTTTGTGACGTTTATGGGTAGCGTGGTGTAGAGGTGTCCACTTTTTATTATCTTTAGCATTATTGCTTGCCCCATCTTTGAGTAGAATTTCAACAATCTCTTTATGACCATTGGCAGCAGCACGATGTAAAGGTGTCCACTTTTTCATATCTTCAGCATTAATATTTGCTTCAGCTCTGATAAGAATTTTAACGATCTCTTTATGTCCATTTTTAGCAGCGTGATGTAAAGGTGTCCACTTGAGCTTATCCTGTGCAATAATACTTGCATTAGCTGTGTGTAGAATTTCAACAATCTCTTTATGTCCATTAGCGGCAGCGCGTTGTAGAGGAGTACACTTGTCTATATCTTCAGCATCAATGTTTGCCTTAGCTTCGAGGAGCATTATAACAATCTCCCTATGCCCATTGTTAGCAGCATTATGTAGAGGTGTCCACTGGTTCACATCTTCAGCATTTATATTTGCGGGGTAATCAAGTAGAGCTTTAACAATCACGTTATGACCTTTGGCAGCAGCATAATGTAGAGGTGTACTGTTGTCCTTGTCTTCAGCAATAATGTTCGCCCTGGCTGTGAGAAGAATTTCAACAATCTCTGTATGACCAATAGCAGCAGCGCTATGTAAGGGTGTCAACTTGTTTTCATCTTCAGCATTTATATTTGCCCCATCTTCGAGTAGAATTTCAACAATCTCTTTATGACCAATAGCAGCCGCGCAATGTAAAGGTGTCCACTTATTCTCATCTTCAGCCTTAATATTTGCTCTAGCTTTGAGAAGAATTTCAACAATCTCTTTTTGACCAATAGCAGCAGCGCAATGAAGAGGTGTCAACTTGTCTTCGTTTTCAGCATTAATATTAGCTTCAGCTTTGAGAAAAATTTCAACAATCTCTTTATGACCAATAGCAGCAGCGCAATGTAGAGGTGTCCACTTGTTCTCATCTTCAGCATTAATTTTTTCTCCAGCTTTGAGAAGAATTTCAACAATCTCTTTGTGACCTTTATCGGCAGCGCAATGTAGAGGTGTCCGCTTGTCTATATCTTCAGAATTAATATTTGCTTTAGCTTGGAGAAGAATTTCAACAATCTCTTTGTGACCTTTATCGGCAGCGCAATGTAGAGGTGTCCGCTTGTCTATATCTTCAGAATTAATATTTGCTTTAGCTTTGAGAAGAATTTCAACAATCTCTTTGTGACCTTTATCGGCAGCGCAATGTAGAGGTGTCCACTTGTCTATATCTTCAGAATTAATATTTGCTTTAGCTTGGAGAAGAATTTCAACAATCTCTTTGTGACCTTTATCGGCAGCGCAATGTAGAGGTGTCCACTTGTCTATATCTTCAGCATCAATATTTGCTTTAGCTTGGAGAGGAATTTCAACACTCTCTTTGTGACCTTTATCGGCAGCGCAATGTAGAGGTGTCCACTTGTCTATATCTTCAGCATCAATATTTGCTTTAGCTTGGAGAAGAATTTCAACAATCTCTTTGTGACCTTTATCGGCAGCGCAATGTAGAGGTGTCCG